CCAAATTATTGCTATTTAAACAATAAGATTACGTAGGAAAACAGGTGATAGTACTTATCACTGTTTTCATGGAAAAATGATGAAAGTATGCATTGTACAGTGTCTTTGTTAATGCATTTTTCAAGTGCAACTATAAAGCAACTGTTAATTCATTATTGTTCATGTTATTACAGTTCAATCACTTGTTTACTGCTATTTTGTACCAGACAGCAAATAAACAAGAACAAGAACAACAAAAAAAGAATCTTATTTTTCCAGTAAACTCGATCTTATAAAATTTTCTATTTTGTTTTTCTTCATATGAAACTAAACATACATTAAGTAACATAACATATAAATTCTATTCGTAACTTTCATTCATAATTCTCAAGAATTTTCGATATATTTTCCACGGTTGTGGAATTTGTTTCACTATTTCATTAAAGTTTCCATCGGGACGAGTCGTTTCGCGACGCTAAGCTTACAGAATGAAACTTCTACGTGTGTATTTATTCGACAGAGACTGTGTTACTTGTATTTTCTCGCGAGCTCGCGGCAAACAACGCCGACAGGCGAATAAAGTTCGCGGAAAGCTTGGCAAAGTTCGGCGCAAGATTGGAGAGAGACCCGGCACTGTAAACAGGGGAATACAGGTGTCCCCGTTTCCATAACGTTCGATTTCCGGATTGTTATCAGCCGTGGGAAGTTTTGCGTATGCATAGTCCACGCTTCGATATATTTCCCGCAAGCTTGTTGTGTCAAAGCCACTATACAGCCACCCACTTATCCGCCTGTGCTTCAATCTCTACCTATCTGCGCTGTGTAGACCGTGCAAAATGAGATATCAAAATTGGGAGAGACGTCTTTGCATTGAAATGTACAATGATTGAAATTAATTACTAAATTGGTGCAAACTGACGGAGATATTTAAATTTGAAAGATAAGAGGGATATAATTTTTGTAAAAATTTATATAAAATATTGTTGGGTGCTGGCACTCCATCATTTGACATATTTAAATAAAAGGAACACAGAAACCTCTCGTTTGTTTAAAGACAACTCTTTGTACAGTAAAGAATAGTAACTCAATGTTACCAACGACAGCATAAAATCATTAGAAATGTAGGAAAACTATAATAAATTGGATCTACTGCCACTGGTAACAACCTTTTCACGTCGGATTCAAAGTTTAACAGCGGATCGAAGATATACCCGGAGTATTCCAAGTACGGAAAGTTTTTGGTGAAAGTTTCCACGGAGTGAAAGATTTATAGTATACCTACAACTTATCAGACATGACATCTTAAAAGAACATTATAAGTCATTCTTACTTGATGGGGACAGGGAACGAGTACTTACGAATTTGAAACCAGAAGAAAATTTATACAAACGTAGAGAATCATCCCCCTAATTTAACACCGAAATGGAATCTTGTCTCTCTAAGACATTTCTACGGTTCGTATAATTTTCCATAAAAACACTCGAAGAATTCTCACTCCATCCCTACTTCACAAAATCACTCTATTCTCTCTAAATCCCACCTAGTATTCCTCAAAAAATATTTGACACAGCACAAAACCTCAGTGCTAAAAACTGCTGTACCAAACAAAATCCCAACAACGACCACTTTGCAATTAATGATCCAGCAAAGCAGAATCGAGCAAAGGTCGAGATCAAAAGAAGAAGAAAAAAGGAGCTAGATCTGGAATGAAGTCAGACGAGCAAACTTTATTACGCTTTCAACGGTAAAGTATCTCTCTCCATTGGAAACAGATTACCGGCGAAAAATTGAAGATGGATAGGATGTAAGGGGCGTTGAAAGGGAAAAAGGTATAGAGCCGTGGCCACATTCATTTTAACTGGCGCGTTGCTTTCCGCGACAAAGAGCCTTGAATTCGACGCACACTTCGCCGTCTATCAGCGACAAAGGACTCCCACCAGAAGATACCTGCCGCGTCTTATCCGCGAAATTCAGTCGACAAAAGTGTGTCAAGCTCGGCCTCTCCTTCGTCCTTACTCCGGCCATTGTGTTTCTACCCTTATTCCACTTAATGTGACGCAGGCTAGACGGTAAAAAGCCCGCGAGTGCTGGAAAATGATAGAACTAAGGAGCTGAGAGGCGATGAATGGACAAGGAAAATCTATGAAGGAGCGAGTGAGAGAGAGAAGGACGTTTCTGACGCGATGAAACTTACTAGATATACGTGCAGCTATACTAACTGTACTCATTAAGCGAGAGTTGCTACAAAAACCAGCTGAACGTGTGCTTGCGATTGAACGTGGATTTAGGTGGTGTTGCGGAAGTAACGTTGGTGGGAAATTTAACGAGCTGAGAATTACGTTCGCAACCTGCATGTAGTATCACCGGCAAATTTCAGGAAAGGGCGGTTACCACCCCCGGGGAATTCAAACGAATTGTCCTATGGCGATGCTTGACGTATAGGGCGGTTTATTCAATTCTTCAACGTTTGTGTTTGATACCGAATGAAATATGTTTTTTCAAATTCTTCGACGCTTGTGCTTTATTCAGAATACAATGTTCAATGCTTGTATTTCATTTCAAAGTATGTTATTTTTGTATTTTAATTTTATCAAGATAAACGCTCGAAGGAATTTCTATTGCCAGACGCTTTTAGGTTTCATAATTATTGATACAGCGTAGTTATAACTGTTTAATAATTAACTAACAAATAAGTATGTTATAACGAAAGGGAGACTGAGGATGTAGAATAAATTCACGATAAAAAACTAAAAATATTCAAAACGCCTATAGCCGCCAAGGCCAGAGCGCGAGAAAATATTCAAACCGCCTATAGGCGGCCAAGGTCACAGCGCGAGCAGATTTCAAAGGGTGAAAGGGTTAAATCACTCAAAATATCATCGAAATAATGTAAAATTCTCCCATATATCATACATACTACATTTTTTCCCACACTGGTATCATATTTTCGTACGATTCGCGCGCGAAAACAGGGAAGACAGTTTAAATAACGATGCACGCGTAGGAATTACAAAGCAATATGGAAAAGAAACGCGGCGAGAAGGGATTCGGCAAACAGATTGGAAAGCCAACAAAGTTATCGAACAACGGTAAAGAGAAGCCTGCCAAGGGGAAGGGGGATGAAAGAACCTTCGTGAAAAGAAGTTGAATAATACCGTGAATAGAAGAAAACCGGGGCAAAGGCGAAGGAAGGAAAATTACAGAGTGATCTCGAGGAGAGATAAGGAATTATTTGAAAGGTACGCAAAAATGAATGCTAAAACGTAAGTGGAGGGGGCAGACACACTACACCGAAACGATATTAAAGGAAGTGGATCCAAGTGGAGGGGGTGGAAAAAAGTACAGAAGAAAAGAAATTAGAGCAACGACGAGACAGCGTCACGTTTACAGGGAAAGAAATACACGGGGGGGAAGAAAAGGCGAAAACGAAACGAAAGAAGTTTCGGAGCGATTAGTTCGGAAAGAAATTGCAAATGGGACGAGATAAATTTTACAAACTCAGGGAAAACGTAAAAAGACACGTTACGTTTGGTGCTTCGTGGGCAATGCTCCAGTTTGTTCCTTCAGCTTGCCCAACGTATTTAACCATTTGTTAAGTGTTCAACGTAACGAATGTGCCAATAGAAATGCTTTATCTTAACCGTGGTGTTTTAATTCTTAACGCTAATTTTGGTTCTCTGAAATACTTTTACCATTGGTTCTTTCAAATGGTGCAATTCTAATTTTGATAAATCGATCCGCAATTTACTCGTTTCAATTTTCGATTATAATTAAGTATTTAATAAATTTTGTTGAATAAGATACTTTTTCACTGATTTGTACGTACTTATTCATCGAATAAAGTTAATTAGAATCGCTGGAAATTGAAACGCGAATGTATGTATAAACTTATTTTTATGAAAATTGTTCTGTAATTAAATAGAATGCAAATTGTAGTTACTGATTGTACGATGCGTTCATTTATGCAAGTATTAATCGGTACTCTTGTATTTGATTAAGGGAAACAAAGGTTACCATAGTGGCAATCAGGAAGAAACCTTCATTCGCCGAATAAACGAATTTCTCAATTCAAAGCGCAAACACGATAGACAGAAAAGAAGATGAAACTGTTAAAGAATCCAATTTTTTCACCTTTCTTGTATAATTAAACACAATACGGTGAAATATCAGCCTAGCACACAGCTAATATTCCATGAAAAACGAATTGCAAAGGACGATACGGGGTCCATATCACCCGTACAAACAGTGATTATGATAATCATAAGGATACGTGGTCCATTTGAGAGTAAATTTATCACGAATTAGTTTCGAGAGTCAAATTTATCGTCAATTTGAGAGTTCTCTCTCGAGTAACTATCGTAAAAAAATCTTTCAGATGAACAAGTAGATACCTTAAGACAGAGAATAGACACACCTGAAATACAGTAGACTTCCGTATAAGGCGTATATATGTCATTTATTAAAAAAAAAAAAAAAAAAACTGTCCTATTTGATCGAACATAGAAAATGATAATATTAATCCTTTAGATTATTCGCGATATGTGAGAAAAATTCTCATACAGCACGTTTTCCTGTAACGCGAATTCATAGTAAGTCGTAAGATCGTAAACTTTCAACATCATCATGCGATTTTTAACGATATGTTTCATGACTCGATTGTGCTACAATAAAAAATTATAAGAAAATAAATTAAGTTTCGTTATTTGTATACATTAACTATATTATATATTTCGTACGCGGCCTAAGACAATTCCTCTTCGTTCAATGTGGCCCAGGCAAGCCAAAAAGTTAGACACCCAAGACGTAACGTATTAACCCTAAAGTAGTCGCGTGAATGATAACTGTCAATAGTGGATGGTTATAATTAAAATGCAAAAGTTACAGTGAACGACTATCGTGATCCACGTGACCACTCGTGTCTCATAGCTGAACGCTACTGCTCCAGGATTAACCGCGTTATAACGGAAGTCTACTGTCCAAAACAATAGCACACGTCGATATGAATCGAAAATCTGACTCACCAGGCGTTATGTTCGGGAAAGGTTGTCCAGGCAAGGAGGGTGGATGCTCATCCTCCGGAGACCGTTCTGACGCGTAACCTTGATCCTGCGGTTCCCCGCCAGCCAGTTTGCTCAACTTCAAATCGATGCACTTGCTGAACTGTTGCCTATGCCTGACCAATTCGCAGTCAGGCTTGTGAACGATCTGCATCAGCAAATCGTTGTTCGCCGGGTCTGGGTTGCACGGTTGCGAAGACGACGAGTTCGTATCGGAAGCCTTTCCGCTGTTTCTGATGTCCTGCTTCCGCTTAGGCAGCGTGTCCACCAGGTCTAGATTTGCATTTCGGTGACATCTGTCCTCTAGGGACGTGCCTCGCGCGTACCTTCTCGACGAATCACCGGGAACCGTGTCCACGCTACGATTTCTTCTCACCGAATCGAAATTTCCGTGGCGACACCTCACTAGATCTAGATCACTCTGCTGGTACCTGTGAACAGTTCCCGGTTTATCTAGTTTTGTAAGAGAGAAGAAGCGTCTCGGTGATGTATTTCACGCTGGGAATGTCTGAGTTTGAATTTATTTAATCCACGTGAGGTGAGTCTGTGTTTTTTTGTTATGCAAGGAAGATAGTTCGAGTTGTGGGTTTCAGCGTGAAGGTAACTTTGATTTATCTAATTGCTCGCTGAGGTGCTTAAAGACTTGTTATGTAAAAAGTACGAAGTTGATGTTTTGTAAATTAAAAGAGTATTTGTGGGAATGTTTATGATTTTTCAAATCTACTGTGCGTTGTGACATTACTAGACTGCGAATTTTTATGCAAATTCATATTCTTGAGTTTATATCATATTTTTTAAATTTATATTTTGGGTTTATTTATATATTTTTGCTTATTATGTGCATTCTATGCATTTTTGCGCCTTCAAATTTTCCATAAATGCATGAAAATCCGTAGTCTAGGCATTACTTATTTTCGGGATTAATAAAATTACTGTAAATCACCCCAGATATGAAAATTCCACGATGTGGATCGCTGAGTGAATTCACGATTTAGAAGTCGTTCTAAACATTTTACAAATTCGACCAAAAATTCTGCACATTCGTAAAAATATGGTAGCTGAGTAATATGCATGTTACCTTCATTTAAACTATGTTTCTTCGAAAGCAGTAAAATCTAGCCAATTTTTTCCATTATTTCTAAATTCACTAGTTCTTTACAAATTTTAGCATTTTCTAGCAAACAACGTTTCAAACGTTTTCTCATAATTAACGTAATACCTACTTGCAGTATTTCGTTAAATTTACCTTTGTACGTACACGCTTTACTTCTACGTCACCGATAGGAAAATAATCTGCAGAAATGAAGGATGGCATACCTCCAAGGATCGTTCTCATCGAGAGAATCCTGCGATCGATGTTTCACGAGGTCCAATGTGCCAGTCGGTCCTCCATCCGAAAAATGCACGCCCAACGATCGTTTCTTGTGTGGCAGCGTTCCACCAAGATTTCCGGTGATAGTGTCCGTCATTATGTTATTATTTTCCTTTGGATCGTCGTCCAGCACATCCTTGTCATCTAGATGATTGGGCAAGGAGCCACAGAATTTATATCTGCAAAGAAGCATTTTTTTTTCTGTGAGCCTCTTATTGAACATCTGTATAAATACACGAGAGAACTCCTCCCGATGGTAATTGAAGGTAAATATTCAAGGGATGAGAAATTACAGGACTGTGTAACTAAAATTTCACGGGTGAAAAGATATTTCTATTAAATAAGATGTATTCGGAGAAAAATAGAGAAAATATACGAAGTGTAAATTTTATGTAAATTTTAATATTTTATAATTTTATAAACGTCGGTTTAACTTTGGACGTTTTTAACATACTTTCTTACTGAATTGTAAAATGTAAATTTCTGTTATTAAAATAAAGTGAAATGTAAGCAAAATTTTCGTGGAAATAAAGTGAAAAATATTTGAAAATTTTCGTTAAGTACAAGTCCTTTTTTTATTATCTTTAATTTGTTACTTAGAGTTCAAATATTTTGTATAACATGTATATTGTGCCCTATGTAATATTATGAATTACGATACCATATTTCGAGGGTAACTTAAAATTTCTTTTTATAAGAAACGTGAAAAAGCGCGCAACTTCCTAATTCATAGAATACAATGTCCGTTAATTTCAAAGGACCAAACGAGAAAGGCAGATGCTGCAAGAAAACGCATTGTCGATGTTTGCATAATTTGCATAGTTCAATGTTTGTTCACTTTTCTGGGTTAGGCGGTTCGTGTATGTACACAAGCTTCCCTCTAACATAGAGGCAATATGGTGATATATAGTTGGACCAACGAAGGATTGAATTGATACCAAAACACTTTTTCGTTCTACTAACAAAAGGAAATTCTTCAATAGAATATTATTGTATAGTGGAATTTCTCTTATGAATGGAGAATGTTATGAACTAGAATATCCTTGAAATAAAATGAAGAAAAATGTACACTGAAAATGTAATTGTACAAGAAAAATACCGTTGTAATTTTTATGTCACAAAATTTTTAACAGAGAAATATAAATGATGTTTTCCATCAGTAAAATTTGTTCAATCTTAAGAAAATTATATTGAAATATTATAATTATAAAAATAACTGTCACCTCGATTTCTGAAACGTACAACCTAATTAAAAATTCATAAATTGTTGTGAAAAAATGTTTATAAGGGTACAAATTTTGATTAACGAAAATCTAATTGTACAAGGAAAATATCATAATTTTTACCAGAGAAATACTGAATATTAAAAAATTACTAAAAGAAAACTAAGAATACGAAAAGAGATCCACTGATAAAATTTGCTCAATCTTAAAAAAAATTGAATTTAATCACTAAAAAACAATTTTACCATCCACTGTCACAACTGACCTAAAATAAATTCATCTCCCGGCACAACAACGATGTATTATAAATACACTACCCAGACGCGGAGTAAATTTCTCCGTTCGTCCGTTGATTTCCTAAACGTGTAACCGTATTAAAAATTCGTGCCTTGCTGCGAAAGAATTTTCATAAGCGGAGAAAATTGCGAGTCCCTGTTTCATTTCGTCTCGTTTCGCGTCGCGATTGCGTTCCCGTGCAGCACGGGTCTGTCAGCCGTGATGCGGCGGTTTCACGGCACAAACTTGTGCATACTGTTGCAAGTATTCGCGCCGTTTACACGTGACATCGTTCGCGATATTATATCCGTCGCGAAGTGTTGCAGAAGAGGCACGCGCGTGCACTACTTCCGGTCCTTGGCAATATTCGCGAGGAACAAATTACAACACGGCAGACATTTTAATCGACCGCGGCTGTTAAACGTGATCGTAACAATTTTCTTTAATATTCCAATGTCGTCTTTACGCTATTCGACGATTGTACACCTCGAATTTGTAGCTGTTTCATTGATTTTTCAGGTCAACGAAGGAATTTGTATTCCAGAGGTTTATAGTACCGATTCGTGTAATTTAATTAAAGAATTTGCTAGTTACATTTGGAAAGGAGCTCGAAATTGGTACAATGGGTGGCAGGGAACGGAATCAGAATGGATAAAACCGGAATTGGATGAAGTGAAAATTGTTGCAGCTTGTAAGTGCGTGAGTGTCGATGATCAAATGAAATTGGGCGATAACGCATTGTTGAGTGATTGGATTTATTTACCGTTTCCGATTATTTTCATTTGTAACGAATGATGTTTGTGCTACAGTGTTGTCAGGCACGACGAAACATTATTCAATTTTATATTATTAATTTTTATAACGAAGATTCTTTAGCAATTTTTTAGCAATCTTGTCAGAAGTCTTATAAACTATTCTGTGTTAACTATAATTTATACAGTATGAAATTTGTTAGATA